CCAGAGTTCATATTTTGAACACTTTACAAACCTAACTATAAATGGAGATAGTGACTGAGCAACTGGGCTAATGACAGGCATACTCTCCTGCAGCTGTGAAGTCTGCCCCCAAAAAGAACACTTCAAAAGTCACTATTTTGAAAATGAAAACCAATCACATTTGCAAGTAAATAAACACTGATGGAGATCTAACTCCTCAGGAGTAATTGTTTTCACTCATTTGTCTTTTCTTGTTGAACACACACACACACACACACACACACTTAGACATTCCTAAAGGTTTTGAATGATGGACTCATGGCACAATTGTGGGTGTAATTACTTCCTTAGAGGAAATATATTACAGATCTCTTTTGAGAGATGAGATGATCTCCCTCAAGATTTCTCTAGTGTGTGTGCTGGAGTGTTTCTGAATACTTTACATATTGTAACTATATATTCAAAAATAACATATTTAGCTATATGTATTTTTTAAAGATTTACTTATTTGAAAGGCAGCATTAGAAGAAGAAATAGAGATCTTTTATTCAATTTTACATGATTTACTTCATTGAAATTTGAAGGGATAAGGAATAGGAATTATTTTAAAGCATATTTATTTGTTCTTTGTGGTCAAAGAGAACAGTAGTAACACTCACCTGGTCCACATACTTAGCTCTTAGCTACATTCAGAGCGAATCTTTTTATTTGCTGGAATATTTGGTGTTTCCAAGCATTTACTTTTCATGTTTCATTTCATTTTCTGCTTTTGCAGGAGCTCAGGAAGTTTCATCATGATTTAATATTTTTATTTTGAAAATCCAGCACATTTTTAAATTACACTTATTCATAAATATAGGTATTAATATATGTAGTTTTCTGTTATAGGAATCTTTGTAGCAGTCCTTTTTTAAAGATTTATTTATTTATTTATTTATTTGAAAGGCAGAATTACTGAGAGGCAGAGAGAGAGAGAGAGAGAGAGAGAGAGAGGTCTTCCCTACTCTAGTTCATTCTCCAAATGGCCACAAGGGCTGGAGTTGGACCAATCTGAAGCTGCGAGCTATGAGCTTCTTCTGGGCCTCCCATGTGGGCTCAGGGTCCCAATGACTTGGTCCATCTTCTATTGCTTTTCCAGGCCATGGCAGAGAGTTGGATCGAAGTAGAACAAGCGGAACTCGAACTGGTGCCCATGTGGATGCCAGCACTGCAAGTGGCAGTTATACCCACTATGCCAGAGCGCTGGCCCCAGCAGTCTTTTTCTATCATATTTTTCCAGTAGACATTGATTAAGTATCTTTAACATGTAAAAGCCTTTGAAGTTAATGGAGGGAAGCTTGCTGGGATATAGCATTTGTGTACGTGTGGTCTGTGTGTGTTCCCCAGAGTTCATTGTAGAAAATCTAATATATACTAACTACTGAATGTATGCCTACATTGTCAGAATTGACTATAACCATGAGACAAAAATAGACAAGGTGTGCCTTTTGTATGTCTGTATCCCTTGTCAAGACACAAGTTCACTACTTTCCTTTGACAAAGTCACAATAACATCTCTATATTCCATATCTTGGTTATCATGAATAGCATTAAAATGAACACATGCTAATATATTTTTAAGATCTTTATTTCAGTTCTTATTTTGGATAAATACACCTACCTTAGAATACTAGATCACATGGTAATTCTATTTTTAACTTTTTGATGATCCTGAGTACTGTTGTCCATAGTGGATGAACTAGAATGCATTCTTACCAACCATGTAATAAGATTCCAACACTCTGGACAGCATTTGCCCTTTTTTGTTTTGTTTTGACTATAAATACATATAGTCACTATTCATACTGCTATGAGGTAAAATCTGATTGTGATTTCGATTTACTTTTGCCTATGATTGGTAACACTGAGAATTTATTCATATACTGCTAAGCCATATGTGTATCTTCTTCGAGAAATGTGTAGTCAAGTACTTAGCCATTTTTTCAGTCAGATCATTAGCTAGGATATTAGGGGTCCCTAAATATTTTGGAGATTAATCTCATCAGATATATGATTTTCAAATATTTTTCTCCCATTCTATGGATTGCCATTTCATTCTGTGCATTGTTTCCTTTGCTAAGCAGAATTTTTAAATTTAATGCATTTCCTCTTTTTTCTTTTCTGTCCTTTGAATGTTATGTCCATGAAATTATTGCTAAGATCTATGTCATGAAGTTTTCCACTAGAAGTTTCTATTTCACATCTTACACATTTTGTATCTTTTAAGTCTTTAATCCATTTTTAATTGGTGGTAAAACATATGGGTCCAGTTTCATTCCTTTACATTGGATATCCAGTTTTCCTACCATCATCTATTGAAGATACTATCCTTTCCTATTGTCTTCTTGGCACCCTGTTGACAGTCATTTGATCATATGTGTGTGTATTTCTATACCTTTGTTCTGTTCCATTGGTCTGCATGTCTGTCTTTAGGGCCATACTATATTGTTATGATTATCATTGCTTTGTAACATATTTTGAAATCAGGAATTTTGATGCCTCAAGTTATGTTGTTCTTCAAGATTCACTTGGCTATTAATGATCTTTTATGATTCCATATGAATTCTAGTGTTGTCCTTTCTCATTCTGTTTCTTTAAGCCATTAGTGCTGTGAAAGATACTGCACAGAAATTTAAGGTTAAATTTGGATATATGGAAATTAACAATATTAACTTTTCCAATCCATGAACACAAATACCTTTCCATCATGTCCTGTTTAATTTCTTTTATCAATGTTTTGTAGTTTTATTTTATTTTTTTTTTTAAACTTTTATTTAATGCATATAATTTTCCAAAGTACGACTTATGGATTACAATGGCTTCCCCCCCATACCGTCCCTCCCACCCACAACCCTCCCCTTTCCCACTCCCTCTCCCCTTCCATTCACATCATGATTCATTTTCGATTATCTTAATATACAGAAGATCAGCTTAGTATACATTAAGTATGGATTTCAACAGTTTGCTCCCACACAGAAACATAAAGTGAAAAATAATAGATGATTTTTTTAAATGATGATGAAATCAGAGCAGACCTATTGTCATGTTTAATCCCAGTGAGAGTCAAGTTGGGAATTGATAATTTCTTTTTTTTTTTCTTTTTTTTTTTTCACAGAGGATCAGTTTAGTATGCATTAAGTAAGGATTTCAACAGTTTGCACCCCCATAGAAACACAAAGTGAAATATATTGTTTGAGTACTCGTTATAGCATTAAATCTCAATGTACAGCACATTAAGGATAGAGATCCTACATGAGGAGTAAGTGCACAGTGACTCCTGTTGTTGACTTTACCAATTGACACTCCTGTCTATGGCATCAGTAATCTCCCTATGCTCCAGTCATGAGTTTCCAAGGCTATGGAAGCCCTCTGAGTTCTCCGATTCTTATCTTGTTTAGACAAGGTCATATTCAAAGTGGAGGTTCTCTCCTCCCTTCAGAGAAAGGTACCTCCTTCTTTGATGACCTGTTCTTTCCACTGGGATCTCACTCGCAGAGATCTTTTGCCAGAGTGTCTTGGCTTTCCATGCCTGAAATACTCTCATGAGCTTTTCAGCCAGCTCCGAATGCCTTTAGGGCTGATTCTGAGGCCAGAGTGCTATTTAGGACATCTGCCATTCTATGAGTCTGCTGAGTATCTCACTTCCCATGTTGGATCACTCTCCCCTTTATTTACTCCATCAGTTAGCGTTAGCAGGTACTAGACTTGTCTATGTGCTCCCTTTGACTCCCAGTCCCTTCACCATGACCAACTGTGAACTGAAACTGATCACCTGGAACAGTGAGATGGCATTGGTACATGCCACCTCGATGGGATTGAATTGGAATCCCCTGGTATGCTTCCAACTCCACCACTTGGGGCAAGTCAGCCTGAGCATGTCCCAAATTATACATCTCTTCCCTCTCCCATTCCCACCACCATGTTCAACAGGGATCACATTTCAGTTAATTTTCAACACTTAAGAATAACTGTGCATCAATTACAGATCTAAACCAGTCATATTAAGTAGAACAGACAAAAAAACTACTAAGAGGGATAATGTATTAAGTTGTTCATTAACAGGGCTATGCTGATCAAGCCACCATTTCCCATAGTGTCCACCTCACTCCAACAGGTTTCCCTCTTGGTGTTCAGTCAGTCGTCACCGATCAGGGAGAACATATGGTATTTGTCCCTTTGGGACTGGCTTATTTCACTCAGCATGATGTGTTCCAGATTCCTCCATTTTGTTGCAAATGACTGGATTTCGTTGTTTCTTACTGCGGTATAGTATTCTAAAGAGTACATATCCCATAATTTCTTTATCCAGTCTATCGTTGATGGGCATTTAGGTTGGTTCCAGGTCTTAGCTATTGTGAATTGAGCTGCAATAAACATTAGGGTGCAGACCGCTTTTTTGTTTGCCAATTTAAATTCCTTTGGGTAAATTCCAAGGAGTGGGATGGCTGGGTCGAACGGTAGGGTTATCTTCAGGTTTCTGAGGAATCTCCAGACTGACTTCCATAGTGGCTTGACCAGCTTGCATTCCCACCAACAGTGGGTTAGTGTCCCTTTTTCCCCACATCCTCTCCAGCATCTGTTGTTGGTAGATTTCTGCATGTGAGCCATTCTAACCGGGGTGAGGTGAAACCTCATTGTGGTTTTGATTTGCATTTCCCTGATTGCTAATGACCTTGAACAAAGAGGAAATGTTTTGTAGTTTTAGTATACATGTCTTTTATCACCTTAGGTAGGTTTATTCCTGCATGTTTTATTGATTCTGGATGTTTTATTGTTATTTCCTTAATTTCTCCAATTTTTCATTGGTAGTACACAAAACATAACTGAATGTAAGTTGAAAACTTTTAGGGCAGGGGCATGCCTTATTTTTATTTTTTGTGTTAATATATATAAACAGTAATTAGAAGTCATTCACTTTTTATGCATTTTTATTTTGTTTCATTGGAAGTCATATTTGTTTTCATGTTTTTCTTCTACTTTAGGGCTCTACTAGTTCAACATCATCTCCTCCAGTCTCCACACCTGTTACAGGACACAAGAGAATGGTCATCCCAAACCAACCCCCTCTAACAGCAACCAAGAAGTCTACAATGAAACCACAGCCCGGCCCCCAAGCTGGCCCCATTCCTGTGACTCCAATAGGAACACTCAAACCCCAGCCTCAGCCAGTTCCAGCCTCCTACACCACGGCCTGTACCCCTACCAGGCCCACCTTTAACGTGCAAGTGAAGTCAGCTCAACCCAGCCCTCATTACATGGCTGGCCCTTCCTCAGCGCAGATGTATTGCCCAGGGCCCCACGGCTGTGGCATTCAGCCAGCTCATGTCTCTGGGCCATGTCCACCTCCTTCAGCTCGGCCTGGTACCGACTATGCATATATTCCACCACCTGTACTTCAACCTGAGCCTGGATACGGGTATGCCCCCAACCAAGGACGTTATTATGAAACCTATTGTGCAGCAGGGCCTTCCTATGGAGGCAGAAATGACTGCAATCCTGCCTATGGTCAACAAGGTCACCCGAGTACCTGGAAGCGGGAGCCAGGATACAATCCTCCTGTAGCAGGGAACCAGAACCCAACCGGCATGTACACAGCCACTGGTCCCAAGAAGACCTATGTGATGGATCCTGTTTCAGGCCCTGGTGCTCCACCACTGCAGCCAAAGGTAAGATACAATCATAGTTAATACAGTAATTCTCATGAATGCCAGTCTTAGTCACCTGTCACAGAAAGCAGTGCCTGAGGCAGGAGTGTGTGAGCTATTTTATTTCATTAGCAAGTTCAATCCCAAGAAAGCATGAGTAAAGTAGGAGAAAGAAGAAGATTCTATTTGCTGATAATGTTACTAATATGACTCTTGTTTACTAGCCAATGGAACTAATTGCTCAGTCTTTAAGGATCATCTTCCAAAGCATAGGAACTGTCGCATATCAGGACAACTGCTGTCTGGGAGGAAGGGAAAATAAATTGTCTTGCAGCTCTGCCAGCCTATTGGTCAAGGCATCCATCTATGGGAAAACATTCCTTCATGCATGTTGTGTTTGCTTGGACACTAGATAAGTCTATGGCTCTTTGTGCCTCCAGAAATGGAGGGAATTTTATATGTAAGTGAGAGGTACACAGGACCAATTCAAAGGCTGCTCTCTGTGCCCATGAGAAAGCAGCCAAAACTCAAGCAATGTTAGTACCACAGTGGCACCTGTGGCCAGCGACCCAGAAGGCAGGTGAGACCAAGCATGGCTAGGTTAATGCAGTCACATTGACTAAAATTTCCTTTGGGAATGAGGTGCTGTATATTGGGTCTTGTTGCCACTTGTTTATTCACATTGCTGATTGCCTGAAAGATTCTTAGACTTCAGCTTTTAACCCTGTTGAGCAAGGTTAACAGTTCTTTATAAGTATCTTTTGTTGTTTGATTTGTCAGTAATGTATGTATGTCTAGTAAATCTAAATGCTCCTTCTAAATGTGTAAGATACAATACTCTACATCCCTACTGACAATAGCTTGGATTTCCATTAGCACCAGAATCAACACAATGTAGTTTCCTCTGATGGTACACAAAGAAGCAACACGACTTACTTGGAAGGGGGGAAATAGATATCCTGGGTTAGCCTCCAGCCATGGGATTGGAACAGGGTTCTCCCTTCTATTCTGAGCTCTAACAAGTCAGAAGTTTGAGAGCCCTCACTTAGCTAGAAGCTTAAATGTAAGTTTAGGGGCATGGACTGGGTAATAGATTAGACTATATTTTTTAATCCTCTCCATATTTTTGACAAGATTTTCAACTTCCAGACGGATCTGTTAACATATTTGACATAGTAACAATGAAATCCCTGGTAGAATGTTGACTAAACCACTATTCCCACATGAGTGTTTCAGCTCTGTTAATGGTGCTCCAAACAAGCAGTGTCTGTGAATTGCTGGAGGAATCCATCAGCCTCAGGTGTGACCCTTACATGTGAGCGGAGCAGCTGTGATCATAAACCAATGTAAAGAGTACAAGTTAAAATTTTAAGTGATTTTTGAAACTCTTTGTTTCTAAAGATGGTTTGCATTGTTAAGGTCTTTTTAAAGTTGGGTCTTTTTAACTCAGGTTTGTCCAAAATAGCCGAGTGGGACAAACCTTTGTTAACACCACAGTGTATTTGCAGTAGTCCCTTTTGACCCTTGCAGCAACCAGCTCAAAGATGTGGAGATTACTCAACTTTACCCCACTTTTGTGCATCTGATACACAGATGCACATTTCCCCTGTGGAAGATTACAGTGAGATACAGGTTTGGATTCAAACAATTGCTGTCAACATTTTAGTTCAGACAGGTATGCAGTTTTGCCTTGGCCCGGCTAAACTGGATGATGCTCCTAAGGGATGAAGATAGATTGAGGAGTATCTGATTGGCTTGAGGATTCTGTCACTCCACATGGAGAGTGTGACATGACAAAAAGCGAAAGTATGTCTAGAAGGAGGGAATGATCCGGTGAGCAGTACTGAATCAGTCTTCAAGGCTACTGTTTGCCCACTGTGTCCTCTGCATGGACCCTGTTTAACATCTGGAACCAATCCATTGGTGTAAGAAAAAGATTCATTGCCCACTACAGGGGCTGGCACTAACTTGTAGAGTCCAGCCACATCACTGGTGTTTGGTCTGTCCTCACCAGCCTACTCAGGGTGATGGAATGAATTTTTATTAACCACTCACCAGAAAGCATGCATCTTTATTTTGCTTCTTATTTGAGCAAAGTAATTATACAAGTTAATCTATTACATTATTATGGATTTTGAATATCAGTGGCTATCATGTCATTTTCAAAAATTTTGAAATATTTGTTTTGCAACAGTGTCATGTGTTTTCATATCACATTAAATTGTGCATTTTAAAATGAAAATAAAATCATGTACTTTTCTCTGGGATTATTAAGGAGAGTGGTTTGAGGTTGATATTTAGCCATCTGTTGGTGCTTCGGGAGAGGGGAAAGAGGCTGATGAAGCTACAGATATATTTTGTGTGTGTTGTGGGGATATTGGCTGTTGAAGGAGTGAGCTCTTTCATGATGGGTCTTGGAGCCAAACACTGCTGTATTCAACTGCACCTGTGCACAGAGGCCCTTATTGTCTGTATATTGACTGTGTTTGGCTTAGTGATGTGACTGCTGGCTTGAAAAATGAACTCCTAATTCTTATCCCAGATCTAGACTTCTTTATTTCATGCTTCCAACTTCAACAAAGAAGGACATCGTCTTTACTAATTAATTAATAATGGCAAAAGCCTTTGGAAATTTCCAAGGACTAAATTGTCAAGTAAGGACTATTTGGCTTTTCAGTTGCGTTTCATTTATTTCTAACTTTCTGGTCACTGTTGGAAAACTTACCCTTGTGCTATAAATCAATTATCTTTTATTACACTGAGAATTTCTGGGAATTTGGCATTTAACTCATTAAGGAATTTTTTTTTAAAAATGCAAGAAAGAAATCTCTATAATCATGACAAACTGCATTAATATCCCTATGTCATAGTGCAGAATAAAAGAAGGGAGTGAAAGGAAAGAGAGAATGGGAAAGAAAATGCAAGAAAAGGAAGGAAGAGGGGCTGGAGCTATGGCACAACGGGTTAACGCCCTGGCCTGAAGCGCTGGCATCCCATACGGGTGCCGGTTCTATTCCTGGCTGCTCCTTTTTCGATGCAGCTCTCTGCTATGGCCTGGGAAAGCAGTACAAGGTGGCCCAAGTCCTTGGGCCCCTGCACCCACTTGGGAGACCCGGAAGAGGCTCCTGGTTTTGGATTGGCGTAGCTCCAGCGGTTATGGCCATCTGGGGAGTGAGCCAGTGGGTAGAAGACCTTTCTCTCTGTCTCTACCTCTCTCTGTAACTCTGTCTTTCAAATAAATAAAAATAAATCTTAAAAAAAAGGAAGGAGACTGAACCAGAAGTGCCAGGCTTATGGAACCACAGTTATACTTGTGTTCCCATAATGTGCTGAGCAGTGAATTTGCATGCTACAGTAGGCCATAATGTGTTTCCTGTACCGTCTGCACAGAGTTCCTTGAAAAATATTGTTACAAGCAAGTCTTTGTAAGGGAGAAATATTCCCTCCCAAGTGGAAGTCCTCTTAAAGATACAGCAGAATCTTTTTGCTGGTTCATACCCCAGCTACCATCAGCCTCATGTTGCTGTCCTGCACATCGTCTTCACGAGTCTGAAGTGAGATGCGTGCTTGCTCCAGGATTCAGATAGAAAAGCTCAGCTTGAAAGCAGCAGAGGCAGGGCCTGAAGGCCACTCATGACCCAGATCTACAATTGGGGGGCAGTCACAGCACCTGCTACCATATAGTAAACCCTAATGGAGGTCAGCCTCAGCTCTGGTGAAGGGACAGCTGTTGGCCACACACCGTGTGAAAGCATTGATGCTGTCCATCCCAGAAAGTTGCACAGCCCCAGCCCACTCAGAGTGGGGGTTAGGTTAAATTCTAAAAGTCATCATTCAATAAAATTTCCCTGGAAATTTCCTCAGGAAAATGAGGACTTAGGGATCAACAAGTAATTTCTCAGGAAATCTACCACAGGTTTTTCTTTTCCAGACTTACGCCAGATTCATCACTGCTCTTCATTTGAGTTTTGAGTTTGGGGGATATTTCATGGTTCAGAGAAAGACAGTAGAGATAATCAACTATTGAGATTAGGGATGAAGGGACTCCAAAGCCTGCTGTTTCTGTTAATAATAAGACAACATTGGATAATGTCAATTGATCTGCATTTCAAAATTTTAGTAGCATCAAGACATTTAAAGTCATGTGTAGTTTTTAGATAAAACATATTTTCTGTGAACTATTTGAAGACTTTGGATACAGGGATTTCAAAACATGCACCTAAAAGTATATTCTTTTAATTCTGTTTTTTACAAACTTGGAAAAACCCACATGTAAGGTCATACATATTAGAAATAGAGTGCAAAAAAAAAAAAAAAAAGCGCAGGCCTTTGGAGAGACTATCTTTAGGGTAAATCTTGTGCTAAATGTCTCTCAATTTGAGTATAAAAGACGAAAGAAAAGGTGACTGCAGTGGGCAGATAGACGGATGGGGTCTGTGCCTTAGGTCACTTCCCACATCAAGATACTGGAATATGTGTTAGGATCAGAATGGAAGAGATAGCTTGAAGAAACCAGTGAGAGGAGGATTAGTAGCTACTCTTTGTACAGGACGTTTCAGGCTGCAGAGAACTTTGTGGACCTTACAAAGTCCATGACCATTGAGCACCGGTAGAGGTTTCTGTTGCTCTTTTACTGATAAGAGTCACAAAGCTCATGATGAATGTCTCTCACAAGTCTAGTTGATGGAGGGCCTCGGCTCCAAGGCAGGTCTTCTGACGATTGCCCCTATGTTTCCCCTTGGCAAATCCCTGGATCTTGGCATGGTTTTGTGCTTGAATGGCGGGAGTTCCATGTCAGCATCCTTGTACACAGTCTGCTGTGACCCATGATACCTGTAGACATGGAAGGAGGCTTAGTTAGTTGTGCAGCATGGTTGAGATCAACAGTTGGAGGGGAAGTACCCGTTAAGTCCCTGCTGGGCACCAAGCTTGGTGCCTTGGACCTATGCTTCCTCTTTCCTGTCACCCACATACTATTTGTCCTGAGGTTCTCTTTGCCATTCCAAAGGCTCAAATCTAAA